ATGGAAAATTTCTCCACGAAAAAAAAAAAAAAAAAAAAAAAAGAAGAAAAAAAAAAGCATGAATATACTCCATCAATAGTTAAGAATAAGATTGACAAATGTTAAATTATTTGGTACAAAATGCTTTTATTTTAAAGAATTTAATAGTAAAACAGATCACATGGAATGATAAGGATTACACTTATAAATTCCTTTGGATGCTTAAAGCAGAAAGGAAATACGAAAAATTAAATTGCAATTACCATTATTGGTTATTTTAATAAGAACAGAAACTCTCTTTTACAACATTTATATTTTATACTATATACCACCTCATAACAAAAAAACAGCATGAACTTCATGTGCTAATAATGTTTATACATACAAAATGCTCAAGATACCTCTATACATGTATTGATTCTAGTGATAAACAAAACATTGATCACATATTTAGGCAGAGTGACTATGTAGGAACGAGCGCCATTATCTGATTCCTAATAATGCCCATGCACTTCTGTATTTCTCCGTAAACTGAAAGGTTCTGGGGGCAAAATGGCTGCAAACTAGTAACGGCATGATCTAATACCTGGGCGACATCAGCTGGCGGAAACTGTCGTGCTGTACATGTCTGCAATTCGTGTGGTAAAAATCAAAATCCAAGGTTATAAACAGATATAAGCTTCCTATCAGCATAACAGTGATGGACAAAATGATCATTGAAACAGGTAATGACTTGATAACAACAAACAAGTAATAAAACAAGTGAAAAACACTTGCAGACGAAAGGTGCCAAAGAGGAATAACCATGGGAGGAGATTTACCACAGCAAAATAATGCAACATATATTTAATTACCTGAATCATCATAAAAGCTGCTACACAATTTACAATAAGGTCTGAAAGGAGTTTTTCTTCACTTTGGTTGGATAGATTATTTGACTTTGAAGGATCATGTGCACACCCAGTTGCCAATGGTTTTGATGTACAGGAAGTTAACTGATCCTGGGAAACCGGAATTGGATCTGCAGGGGTAGTGGAAGATCCCATTGCTAGCATGCCAGCATCATCTGAGAGCCGATTACTTACAAAGTCTATAACCTCCTCAATTTTGTCAAAGTTATTTTCCTTCCTCAAGGATGAAAACGCCTGAAATAGTAATTAAGATGGCATTGTTGTCAGAGTACAAAAAGTAATTAGCGTTTTGCAGTATAGTTGCCATGATAGATTTGGTCATAGCAATAACTTCCTAGAAGGCCCCCAGGATATAGAATAACAGAGCACAAAATGCCCTTACCATACCTGCATAGCTGCATCAACCATTTTGTGAGCTTTTGCTCTTGAACTTTCAACAATTTCATGCATATGAGATGCTGATTCTTGAAAATCACAAGAATACCCATAGGAGTTTGAGTGGCTACCAGGGCCACTTAAATTGTCCATGGGCTTCACAACTGTATGCGGGGAGCTCCCTCTATACGTATTGCGTTGTCTCAAGCATAAAAGAGCAGAAGAAACCTGCACATGAAAGGAAATCAGCTTCCTTCTCTTTCCTCTCTCTCACTCACTCTCAAATAGTCACTTGATTGCTGCATAGTTGTAACCAAGATGCCACATGATAGAAGGAAAGGGAATGAAGCAACAGATGGGACGATGGATACCTGGTCATTGACTTGACTCAACTGTAAGAGTACTGCAGCATATTCCTTTTTAAAGGGCTCAGAATCCCTGATAGAGTTGTCTTCATCTCTTTGGTTCTCAAACACCTCATCATTCATGCGCCTCAACTCAGACACCACGGCTTCCTACAAGTTTCAACATGATCTGTCAACTCAGTTCTCAAATACCCACATCGACAGGAGTTGAATAGGTACAATCGCTCGTTTCCCTTCAAATACAAGACATTTTTCCAATTGTTAACGCCTAAAATTGATATAGAATTATGTATTAAGAACTTCACCTTTTTGTCAAGTGCACGAGTCAACTCATATATAGCTTGCACATCAGCTTCTTTTGCTTGGGTCTGTGAAGGAATTGAAGGCCGATAATTTGCAACTTGTGTACTAGCAGTTTCACCAGGCCCAACTTTAGCTTGCACATTAAAGCTTGATGACTTCACCTAACCAAAACATTTCCTACTTAGATAATAGCATATAATTATTCTGCATTTTAATGTTTCCTATTAAAGATACAGCAGCAATGTAAGGTCAATGGTTCAAGTAGTCAGCAAAAACAAATGACCAACAGAAACAATGAGTCCTAAAAACATGAAGTGAAAAGCATGCGGGGAATAGCAATATAGTTCAAGTAAGATGAACACAATTCGATCCCAAATAAATGGCAGATGTTCAGTTTCAGTCTGAACCAAATCACAAATTTTGGCAGTTCTCTTTATTTCTTTCTTCTTTTTTAGAGAGAAAAAGTGAACTTCTTGTTGTGTCATCAAGACATTGATATGCTTGGAAGAATGCTCCTCTTATAAATGGGGGCAGTTTCATGGTCATGACAATATCAGATACTACAAGACGATGCTTGAACATTTAATATTGCCAAATAAAGGACAGACAGGCACCTATTATAAGATTACAAGCCATCTTGCACGTAAATATAAAAGGAACCACAATATGTTTTGGCAGCTGGAAATCAAAACTAACCCCTGTCTGCTTTGATGATTTATTGATACAAAGATTTGATGGCAGAATATAACCTGGAACACCAGTGCTCACCAGCTTGTCACTAGAGGAAATCTTCATATATCCTTTAGTCTTCCCTTCTTTCAGTTGTTCATTAATCTTGAGCTCCTTAAGGTTCTCAATATATTTGTTGACAGTGACATTGTGCTTTCTGAAAGAAGCAGGTAAATTTTCTGCTGGATGTATAGGCATGCAATCAACATCCTGTGATGAAAGTCAATACACCATGCCATTAAAAAGGAACAACCGGAACTACAAACAGATCCTATATCTGCTAAAAGCATCCAAACAAGGGTAACTTGTAAGCTCTCATGGAAATGAAAATAAAGAAAGAAAACACAAACATGCTGTGAGAATTAGATTTAGTGCTATATGAAACAAAGAAAAGGATGCAACACGGTTTGTTTTGGCCATTGATGCAACATAGTTCAAAGGCATAAAAACTCTATTACAGTTTCTTTATTTTTTTAATAGAGAAAAAGAAAATATAAACAATGCATAAGAACAATTTCTAAACATTGAGAAAACAGGGGACTATCCGAGTGGTGCCAACAGAAAATTTCATCCATAAAACTTCCAAATGATTACTTCAGTTGAATGCTTACAAATACTTATGGCAGTTATCCCAACCGCTCTTCAGAAGTATTAAATTTCAGAGATATCAGAACCTCCTTCCTTACTTCCCCTCCCGCCTCTATTGGCCACCAAAGAAAGTTCCTCCCATGAAGGTTTCAACAAAATGAAATATTCTCCTTAAACAAAAATACATAATTATGTCATAAAATTCAGTGAGGGAAACTAATTACCATGATATATTCAACCCCTAGTTCAGGCTGGTCAAACTGCACAGAACACCTACTATGGTCGACCGTTAGTACAATTCCATTGTGGATCTCTCTTGCCCTGGGATGAAAAGCAATGACATGCTGTCCAACTGATAAAGGCCGAGCTAAGTCAGTCGGAAGTCCCTCCCTTGTACCAGCATTAAGTTCAGCATAATGCGTTCTAACAGATTCCCGGTACTGATTAAGCTTCTCTTTTTCTTCCTTCAAAAACTGTTCAGAAAATCTCCGTGGTCTGCCAAGGGAGCTGCATCAACAAGTACCAACAACAAAATTTGCAGAGATTATCAATCTGAAAGGCAAGTCAAAACTGGCCAAACAAAAAGTTCCAGTCAAAGAAGCAGATCAGGGACATCTACCTCCTTATTACACCCCATTCAACACGAGTTAATCTTGGAACATGACCCAATCCAACATGATCCAAGTACTCCACAAACTCCCTTTTAGCAAACCATGGGTAATCAATTGCACTGTAAAACCATTCAAAAGCACACCATCTCCGCACTTGATACCGAGATAAGCAATTAGAAAGCTTTTCCTGTAAATGTAGAGGTACACTTATATATGAAACATAATCAAATATTCAAAAAATTCAGATGGCAATATAAATGATGACACATTTACCTTAATATTTAGTTCTCTGTTATGAACTGAAGGAACCAGTTTATCAGGTTGGTCATCTAAAATACTCTCAGGAGACTTTGTATCCTTCTGTATTGATGATTTCTGCATGTCCATCTCCCATTTACCCTTGTTTTTTGTAGGTAAGTTGGCCGGGTTTGCAGATGGAACTTGTACAGTTGATAAACCTGAATTGTTTTCTTCCCTTTTACGATCAGTAGTAGAAGATGCATTCCATAGAGTCTTCTTCACCAATTTCCCTTGCTTTGGGTGCGTAGTATAATGTGAAGATCGTTTACCTTTACTCGCGGACTTCTTAACCTCAACTGTAGCCTGAAACCAATTATAAATACCAAAAGTCAAAAGTGATTGTAGGCACATGAAAATTATAAAGAAATCAAATTGTGATTTGTGACTACCATAAGAAATGACATGAAACTTTTGAATAATTTCGATCTAAAGACTACTGAACTTCCAAAACAGCAACATATAAAGAAAGTTTAACCATCTGCTCTGTTCAAAAAACATTTTTTAAGGGATCAAAAGAATGTGCCATTCCCTTCTGAAGGTAACTATGCTAAGCCTTATTTCTGGTAACAAAAACGGCAAAAAGGAAAAAGAAAAAAAGGGAACACCTTCTAGACTTATAATTAATAACATCCAGACTTTTTTAAAACAACCACAAAGTCATCTGTAAAGTGAAAACACTGTGAAAAAGTCAGGGTGAAAGGACCCCATACCTCAATCTTTTCATTGTCACTCCCATAGCAGTCAGTTTGAGCTTCATTATATATCTGCAAATAAATAACGTCATACATGGTCATCAATTCCTGCCATAGCCAGATGGACCATATGGGGTAACACAAGTAAAGCAAAACTAAAGGAATTTGTAGGAAAAGTGTTATCTGTCCTTACCTTAAATGACAATGACTTCTGTTTTCCTTTTTGCAGCCCACTATTAGACTGATGAACTCCCTCTCCGAGTTTGCCCAGTTTAGACGTTTTAAAAGCAGCATGTTCAACCCCAGGAATTGGATGACTCCCTTTCAGTTTAGACTTGTTAGCAATATTGAAATTGTCTTCCTTGACATGTGCAGATGACTCTAAACACAGAACCAACAAGAAATCAAAATTTGAGTCAAATACATCAGTTAGCAGTTAAAGAGGATCTATAAAGTAAACTATAATACCGTTAACATCACCCCATGTTTAACTGATTTGCAATCCTCAAGAGACAAAATACATATTGCAGCAACAAATTGACACAAAAGACCCCTAGAACTATTGATAAGCACTAAACAGTACAGCTAAAAAAAGACAAACACAGCTTTATTCAAGCATGCAAAATGTAATTCAAGTTAAAATCTTCATGACATAAAAAGAGGCTTTGTTTCTTATACGAGAAATATAAAGAAAGACTGATGAGAAATTAATAATTCAAATGAAGCCACTGTATTTGATCAGAACCCCTTGATAAGGTACCAGGTAAGCTAGCTCTAACATGACAAGAATAAGAATGTTTCTGAATTTTGAAACTGAATACTAGAGATATAAGGAAAAAATGAAAGACATAAACTGAACATTAAGGAATTATATAAACCTTAAAAGGACATGATAAGAGATAAAACCCAGTGTTCCTAGCAAAATAGTGGTAGAAAATTGTACTTGTCAAAACACAAATGTTTTACCTGTATCAGCAGCTTCAGGCATCATCAAGGATAGATCTGCCAGAGTTTGTAGTGCATCAAAGGGAGAGCCTTCATCTGCATGGAGAGAAGAGTTAGAATGAGTAATAACTGGACATGCTTCAACAGATTGGAAGCCAGAGCAGTCAAATTTAAGATCATATCAAAAATCAAAAGTGGAAAAGCAATGCAACCCGATCATCAATACTACAATTTCCAAACGCGTTGGCTTGTATACAATCTAGATAATCTTCTAAATGGTTGGATATGCACAGAAAAACAGAAGCCAAAAATAACCCAGATGACTGTCTCAAAAAGAAATAAAAGAAAAAAGCAACACAAAATAAAACTACCTCAACTGTATCTGTACTACAAACCAAAAGTACCAAACTGGAAATTGCAAAGGAAACAAGTTGTGCAAAAGCATATCTGAATATCAGTTATAGAGGGAAAGCGAGGTATGAAGGGGGGAGGGAGCTTGGCTTAAATATTTGAAAACATACCTCCTCCAACCAGAGCTTTTTTACTTTTCTTTCTTGTATCCTTGTAGAAGGACCTAGCACTTTTCGCAACTTTAGTATCAAGTTTTCCTTTGATAGCACCTAATTTCTCTCCTTCCTCTGTTCCACTACAAGCTTCTTTTATGTCCTCAACATGTTCGTTTTTACTTTCGTCAACTTCGTTCTTCTTTACAAAGTATCTCTTCCTCCTCTGCTGAACTTCCACAGTACCAGTCCCTTCTCTACCCATTGCATACTTTTCATTTCTGTCATAGTAATCATTGTCAGCTTCAGTGCTACCTAAGCTTAATTCACAACCGCCCTCATCCATTTCACAACCATGGAGCCTGGCATTAGTCATTTCTGATTCTGCACGCTAAATGTCAGAAACAATAATGAATGATTAAATTATCATCTTGAAATAAGTCTAGAAAAGCAATGAAGATTTTTTTTAAAATAATAATCTTACCATCCTTTCACCATTCCGAACAGGTGATGGTGTAGTGCCTTTGGCTTTTCTCTTAGGCGTCCAAGAAACTAAGGGAGAACCACCTCTATGCGAGGCCTCAGTCAATGCCAATGCTATCTCATGAGCAACATCATTATTGTTAGCATCTGCATTGAGTTTTAAACCTTGCCTGGCAGGTGAAGAATACTTTCTACTATTATCTTGATCATTAGAATATGCAACAGGGACTCGAGGAGTCCTTTTTTTAACAGCATGAGGCCTTATTCCTGAAACAAATTCAAAACATATTAATGGCAGCACCATTAAAGAGAACATATAATGTAAAATAGACCCAAAGGGGGACGATGGAATTTTTGAAGTAGAACCAAGAAGAAAATAGAAAAGTGAAAAAAGTAGAGAGAGAGAGAGAGAGAGAGAGAGAAGTGAGGAGTAGAATAAGAGCAAGACAAGTTAATCTCAATTCAATAAAACTCTTGAATTCCATTACAATAGACCCTATTTATAGTGGTAATCCTGCAATAGTAAAATACGTTAATAAATAACTTAATCCCTAAATTCTAATTTTTATAAATAAAAATTAATTAAAATAAACCCGTTTCCCACTTTTGCTCCTACACCATTTTCTTGCATCCACTACCAATTTCTCTTTTCCAAAGACAAGGGTCAAACATACATAAACAAGAAGCAACAATTGACATTTTCCCACCAAGTTGCACTATATTTTCCTATGAAGTATAGAAGCTTTGCTTTTCAATAATAGTGAGAAAATATGACTCGAGCAGCATAAAAAGGCAGCAGCAAAACAGCTTCGGTTCCAAGCCACAAATGAGTAAAAGATAACCACTAGGTAAAAAACAAATGAAAAAAAGATATGCAAATTGTACATGTGCTGACCCAGACACACACACAGATCACAATAATTTCCCACCTGAGCGCCTATTCTTCAGCAGTGACAAGCAGTCACTAGTTGATGCCATTGGATGGGACTGTGAAAAATCTGGAATATGTCCTTCTAATCCTTTTGAGGACTCACTCCGAAGTTTTGACCTTGCATGCTTTTGGGGCTTCCTAGAGGTTTCTGCATCCTCATTGTTTTCTTGTTCACTGTCACTTCCTCCCTGTAAGGCCAGAGTCCTCTATGTGAGTTCCATGTGGGCCATTTCCAATACATAGCCCAATTGATATCAACAGAAGAGTATTACTAGATCATTAAACTCATTAACAAACTAACACATATGCACATGCTGCTCACCATAAATGGATATTTCTTAAAATGGAACTTCATTACAGTTTCCTTTAGCAATATAACCAATGCCAGGTTTTCATTTCCCCTTAGAAACAAAGTTGTATTAACAGCTAGGAAACCCTTCAATGAATAGAAACAATGATGAAATTCAGACCAGTGAATTTCAACTATTCCTTTGGTTGAAAAACATGTTTAACCAGCCAACCAGAAAACAAAATAAAAAATATAAATAATCTGTATCCCTTGATGTTCCTTTCTTTTTCATTTTTTAAAAGAAATGGAAGCTTTATTGCAATGAAGGATGCAATTATAAAGCAGGGGACATGAAATCCTCTCTAATAGAACAATACAAACATATCCTCATTCAGCTACAAAATTAACTAAAGAAGAGGCACTCCAATTTGAAAAGGAAACTACAGGTTGGGGAACAAGGAGTATAAGTTACAGCCTACAGGAGACAATCCAAACCTCTGGTCAAAGAAATAGCAAAGGCCTGCACTATTGCCAAAGAAACCTTCTTTTTTTGGTCATAAAAGCCTCCTTTTTTCCCCCTTCAGTCAGCTACTTTTTGTTTTCATGGCAAAAGGTAAAGTTTCCCTTCCCCGTGCAGTGTTTGTAGAAGCACCAGAACAACTAAACATGGATTTGCACTAAACAAAGGAAAACCATTTTGAAGTACCAAAATATTACCCACAAGAATAGTTCCTAGAAGGTAAGTGCACAGATTGATCTACAAAACCACAAACGTTCAATCTTACCAGTATACAATAGTGGTCAGTCATCATTGCTATTAGGCCAACCACAGAAGCAACGCCCTCAGGAAGAGATAAATAGGCCTGAAAATATAGAACAATCCTGAGTCACCCACATGGTATAAATAGGTTATGATTAAAACATAGAAAACATAGGCATTTATTAATCTCTTGGGGAAACGTAGATAATTCAAGATTATGGCATAAACATAGTTTGTCAAATTCTAAACACAAAACTTAATGTCTTTACTGATTCTATGACAATTCTAATATTATTTTACTTTCATATTAGCTTGGAAAAAACTCAAAGAATGAGACTTCATCAAGCATTGACTGAACTACATTGAACTGATTATTATGTAGTTCAGATTTTCAGGGAAAATATCTAATTTACAGAGCTCAACAAATTAAAATGGTGCCAAATCTTATACATTGATGAAAATTAAGATCAGATTATTCAGTTTTTCTATAAATAAATAAAAACTCAAAACCCCATGCAATGGTGGACTTGCCACAACTTGGAAACAGAAGAGTTATGTGAGTGGAGGCAAAAGCATTCCACTATGCATAGAATTGCACACACTGGGGATAGAAGGAATTAACCATGACCATTTTTAGACATAAAGTTTTACGCATATGGACAAGATAGTGTCCAGTTGTGTTACAAGATAAAATTACACTATATCCCGCACATACCTTATTCATAGAGTAAAGGGCCTCCACCATTTCTACAGATCGGTGACGAACTACAGAAGCCACCTAAAATGAAAAATTATAAGTAAATAAGTAAGCTTACGGCTGGCCCAAACATGTTAATCAAGTGAAGAGTATCATAAAATTTGTACTAACCTTCTTCCAATCTTTCCCATACTTACGATATGCTTCATAGAAATTCTCTAGCTCTTCCTTGGTCCATTGAGGCCCTAACATGGCAGACAACTTTCTCTTCTGCACATGAGAGGACAGGGGGAAAATGCATATAGAACTGGTTAACAATTACTAATTTTAAGCAGTTCTAATACTTCAGAAGAAACTCGAGGTTTGCTATTTGAGATCTGCATATACATAACGATATGTAAACCAACACTGATCACATAGTAACTTCCTAGAATGGCAATGCAAAGTTGTTGCTTCAGGAGAAGGAGGAAGAAAATCAAGATTTCAAATTCAGTTTTTGTTGACTAAATATAGAACAATTCAGATGATAAAACATCCTCAGAACAAAGTCAGGACTCACTTTCTGCCCAGTTTTGTTAGCATTCTCTCCATACTTGTTAGAAGCAGCCTCATTCATATAAGAAAACCGCTTATTTACACTCCTTGATTTTCTCGATGGGGCCATGGCTAACTTCCTTAGTTACCTGAAACAAAACAAGTAGAAAAGCACAAGCCCACAAAGTCATATCCAAAATGAAGAGCAAGGTCATACAGTAATTAATGCCGACATCAGCAACAAACTATGCAAGTAATATGTGGGTTGCGTCAGATCGTCCTACAAAAGTTTAAGATTGCCTTATCGTCAAACTTTTCCTACCATCTTCGCGACTTTGACAACAAATTACAGGGAACTTTGGAGAACACAAGCCTTTTAGAAATCTACCACAAAGTTCTGATTCATAGTGGGTATAATAACTGACACTTTCCATAGCAAGATCAGTAAATGTATTTTTCACGTATCACGACCAACATTCTCATTATTGAAAAAGAAAAAGCATATCAAGGCCAACAAGGCAAAAGGAAAGAGACTAATAATCCTTCATAAGAAACAAAACTCAAATTCAGAATTCCCAGCTTTTATACTTCTGATACTTTTTTTTGTTTTTGGAAAAAGGGAAAAAAAATTTCTTCACTGTAAATCAATTTTCCCGCCAATTTTATGTATAACCTAGTGGAAAAAGAAAATCTTAGATCTGAACCATCCAGCTTAAAACTAAGCCTATCTCAACCAGATAACTCGGCAGTAGCCTTTGGGCTTCAAGAGTTACACAGAAAATCCACTTTCGAACACAAAATTTCTCATAATTCGAGGCTCCCTTACTTTAAAAAAAGTTCGAAAAGATTCTTAAACAACAAAATCGACCCCCAAAAAAATACACAGAGCCCAAATGTAACAATTTCGTCCGAGCTGAGGAAAATTTTCCGCTAAAAACAAAAATAAAAGTTAATAATGGACAAAATTGCGATTTCTTTTACTGTTCACAGTTTTCTCAGCAACCAAAGATCGAACGAAACCTAAAAATGTAAAGCGTTACCAATACACGGCTTGCAATTCGAAAACCTGATAACCCTAACATAGAGAAAAAGAAAAAAGAAAAAAGGGAAATTCACCTCTGGAGGAGTGTTTGCACGCCGATTAGAGCTCGTCCAGGTTCTGAGCGATGGAGTGAAAGCGCATTTGAGCAGCACTGGAACTGAGAGATAGTGGCAGTGGATGAGAAAAAAGAAGAAGACGACGAAGTTGAAGAAGAAGAATGAGAAATTGGGGGCGGACAGCCGCGAAACTTTAAAACACTGTTAATCGGAGTTGAGAATTTTGTTATTTTGCCCGGATTTTTCAAATTTGTGCACGTGTCAAATTTGTAAATGTGTGATATCACGTGTTTTTGCTTAATAAATCAGATCATTGAAAACTAGAAAATAAAGAAAATAAAAACTAAAGTTTAAAAACAAAAACGAAATAATTCATTATGCTAAAACGATTTCTTTATATTTTATTTTAACAAAATTTAATTTGTAATGTATTGAAACTGTAGGGATCTTTTTCTTATGGCAGCTACCAAATGGGCTGGGCTGTCGTAAGGAGCAAACTGAAGAAAATATCCCCTATATCTGAGTTCAAAGATCAGACCCCAAAATGTTTCGAAAGGATAGCAAAGTCTTAGGAAACATCTTGGTTACCTTCACCAACAAAAATAATGGCTGCTTACAGATAATTTCTTAGTGCTTACAGGTAGAATTTTAGCTTGGCATGAGAGGCTTGTGGTATGGGAGCAAAGTGCCATGAGTTTAGCACTAAAGAGAAAATTAAGTGTTCTTGGGGAAATATGGGTATTAAGATAGGAGAGAAAGGATTTTGAAGAGGGTTTTGGTTGAGAATGAAGGAAAGAAAGAAAAGGGTGGCTTGAGTGCTTTTTCCAGCAGCTTGACAGTGGTTCTGTCAAGTGTTAGAACATCATGTCAAGAAGGAAAACTGAGGAAGGAGATGAACTAAGCACGAAAATTATTGGTTTTGAAAATAAGAGAGGAAGCTTGCTCTCTGGTTGTGGGTGATTTTTGTTAGGTAAAAAAGGCCCTATTTATAGCCGTTGGAAGCCATCTTTGCTCTATGTTCCTCATTTTCTTCCTTGTCCCTTTATTGAGAAATTTTAATCCTAAGTGCAACACTCGCTAATTTTCTCGTTTGCCCCCTCATGAGAAATTTTAATTATCAACAACTATACCCAATGATTGGCCATCACAAGGTCATACAACCATGTATGTGGCATCCTCCTTACTAAGGGACACAATGCTATGCTTGAAGAAATGATGGTTTAAAAATGTGAAGAATAGCGGTGTTTCGAATTAAGATAGTTAAAACAATAAAAGTTAAAATATTAGTAAGTATGAAATAGAGAGAAAATTACTTCATTATCATTTTGATAGTAAATAAAGTTGGTTAAAATAATTATTTGGCTAAAAGTCACTTTTGGTCCATGTAGTTTGGCACTTCAACCACTTTTGACCCTGTAGTTTTAATTCCGTCAATTTTAATCCGGTAGTTTCGTATTTGTAGCAATTCAAGGACAAGTTAGTATTCTTGTCAATTTCTTTGATGGTGCAAGGGGCAATTTTGTCAACCCAAAATCCTTGAGCATAAAAGCTCGTCTGAAACTTCCCTAATTTCATATTAGGGCTTGAAATTGGTTAATTGGGTTTAGGGTTCTTCAAAAATTGGGATTAGTGGTTGAATTTTGAGCCATAATATGAAATGGGGAGAATTTCAAACAAGCTTTTACGCTCAAGGGTTTTGGGTTGACGAAATTGTCCTTACATCATTAAAGAAATTGACAAGAATACTAACATGTCCTTGAATTGCTACAAATACGAAACTACAATGGCAAAATTGACAGAATTGAAACTACAGGGTTAAAAGTGGTTGAAGTGCCAAACTACAGGGACCAAAAGTGACTTTTGGCCTAATTATTAAGGCTAACAACAAAAAACACCCTGCAGGTTTGGGGTGGTTCTCAATATGGACCCCAGGATATCAATTTTATCAATTTACACCCTTACGTTTGCAACATCGTCCAATTTCATCCTTCTGTTAAGTTGATCGTGTGATCAATCTTTAAATGCTAACGTGTCTATTATGGGACCCACCTACTAACCAACCAGTACATAAATTTTTTATATATAAAATGATAAAATAACATAATTTTTTTAAAAAAATAGACTTAAAAAATCACAGCCCCTTCCCAGGCCAACAAACCCAGCACCCGTTGTTCACACTCTCTCGCCCCACACCAACCCCAGAGCCATCCCTCTCTCTCTCTCTGGCGTCGGCTCGGCAGCGGAACACCAAAACCCAATTCTAGTAAGAAAAAAGAAAGCAGTGAAGTCCAACTCTTCATGTGCTAAAAGACTCAAGTCGATCAACTTTCTCTGATATGGTGCCTAGACAGATTATGAAACATCAAATACAGAGGGATTAGCCCAACCTGCAATCTCTCTCTGGAAAATTTGCTTAAACAATATCAAGTTGAAAAGACATCCATCTACTGCAAAATTCATAAAGTGGGTCTAGGAAAAATGTTGTTATAATCGTAAATGTCGGGTAGTGTGCACAGCATCAAGAACACAACTAACAAATTAAGCATTAAAAACATGGCTAGACAGATACTGTCATACTAAACTACAAGTCCCCATTCAGAAACAACCACAATAGCAATCACTTCAAGCTAACGTAGCTATATTATGCGCTCCAATTGCAAACTAATTTAGCTATTCGATAGAGAACAACAAGCTTACCCATGTTATGTGCTCAAATTGCAAGTAACCCTTGGCACCAAAGTTGAATTTTGTATTAGCTTCGTTGATTATAAGCATGTTCTCCAAATCTTATTCCAAAATTCCCATCCTCGTAATATCCAGGTTCCTCTTTCTTCCCCCACCCTCATTCATAACACTCCTAAACCCCATCCCCACCATCCAATTCTACATCAGATCCATCTTCGTCTCGGAACGTCTCGTTTAGCCGGCTGAACGCCCAGGCTCCCAAGTTCGTCCCAACTCGGCAACACACCCAATTGGAGAGTACGATTGATGAGCTTGGTCTGATTGGCATCGCAGGACCTGGACTCGTCAGTAGCCACGTCAGTATTTAATGATTGACCACATGGTCAACTTAACGGAAGGATGAAATTGGACGATGTTGCAACCGTAAAGGTGTAAATTGATAAAATTGTTACCCTGAGTCCATATTGAGAACCACCCCAAACTTGCAGAGTGTCTTTTGTCATTAGCCCTAGTTATTAATTACAATGAACACTAGAATATTTCAAAAACACAGAATTGCACGTACACCATGCATGCATCACTCACGCTATATGTGCTATTTCATTACGCCCTCTTAAACTTGAGTGCGGGAATATTTGATAGCCGATCCGAAAGTTTGCCTAACTTTTAGATACCAATTTGAATACTTGAATTGAAAACACATTCTAAATTGGTGAGATAAATAAAAGGCATGAATCAATTTAGTATTTAACCCTTGTTTGTTTTTTCTTCTTCTAATTTTATTTAGCATCACTCACACTACAAGTTTCCAGTGTCACTATTTTTTTATTTAACCCAGTCTTTCACTCTTGTTCTCTCCCTTAGGGCTTTGACTATTAAGAATCATCAAATCTCTTTAGTCACATTTAAGTCAAGCCATAATTGTAGGATCTGCTCTTATGCAATCTTTCCATTATTCTAATTGTAATCAGTTGCAAGACCTTAGGCACAAGTTTAGTTAACTTTACTTGTACAGCTTTTCCTTTCTTGTATTTAAGATTTGTATCAGCTTGCTAAAATATCAATGAAAACACAAGAAATTTCTCTGCAAGTTCTTCTCTTTTACCAATTTTAACATGGTATCAGAGCATCGATCTTCGATACTCTAAGCCTCATTCCATTCCGCTACAACACTTACTTTGAAGATGACGAGCGTTGACAATACGTCTCGAGATGTCAAAGGCAAATCCTTATTTTGCACATACTGTGAAGGCAACCACTCCTTGGCACACAATGCGCAAGGTACTCCTTCCAAAAGTGGCGATTCATTCCATGGAATCCCTCAATTCACAGCACATGAATACCATCATATCAAGGCTATGTTACGTGACGGTAAATTTCAGTTTTGTGAAAAAGTCATAGGTACATCCATTTCCAAATGTCATGTTGCTTCTTTTCATCAAGGTTCTAAGGATTGGATAATTGATAGTGGTGCCACTGACCATATAACATCATCACCTGATCTCTTGCATACATCGGCATCACATCCTTCTTTTGTCTAGTTACCAAATGGGTCACGTGTTGATATAATTTCTACTGGTTCCTTGAAAATTAATTCTGACCTTGTTATTAAAGATGTCCTTTCTGTTCCCTCCTTCAATGTCTTCAATGTCAATTTGCTTTCAGTGAGTAAGATAACTCGTGACCTTCATTGCACTGTCATTTTCTACCAAGGATTTTGTATTCTACAGGACCTGACAACGAAGAAGGTGATTGGCCTGGGGAAGGAGCATAATGGCTTGTATTATCTTACCAAGCCCACGGATATCAAGCCGCCACCTGCAGCACATACCACCTCCACCAATTCTGATTTGTGGCACCGTCGTCTTAGGCATCCCTCTGCTGCCCATTACAATTTCTGTCAAAATCCGTATATGGTATTCCTTTCAATTTAAATTTTCATTGTGAAATCTGTCCAATGGCCAAACAGACTCAACTACCATTTTCTTTAAGTTCTATTTCTACACTTGCACCCTTTGATTTGATACACTGTGATATATGGGGACCTCATCGCATTAATTCACATTCCGGTGCTCGTTATTTCTTAACCATTGTGGATGATTTTTCTCGTTACACATGGGTTCATCTCATGCAATTTAAATATGAAACACAGAGCCTATTAAAATCATTCTTTGCTTTCGTGCGAACACAGTTCCAATGTCATGTTAAACAGGTTCGTTCAGACAATGGGAGTGAATTTACTTACATGCGTCCTTTCTTTAATGATTTGGGCATCATTTTCCAGCACTCTTGTCCTTCTACACCCCAACAAAACGGTGTCATTGAACGCAAACATTGCCACCTCCTTAATGTCGCACGAGCCTTACGTTTTCAAGCACACCTTCCCTTAAAATTTTGGGGAGAAAGCATTTAAACAGCTGCATATATTATCAACCGTTTACCAACCCTTTTGCTTTCCAAAAGAACACCATATGAAATGCTCCATAAACATGTACCCCAATATCACCACTTACGAGTCTTTGGTTGCTTATGCTATGCCACCAATACCAAACCTTCTTCAAAGTTTGATTCCCGAGCAAGAAAATGCATATTTGTTGGGTATCCATTGGGTCAAAAAGCCTATAAACTATATGACCTTCAAACTAAGACATTCTTCTCTAGCCGAGACGTTGTTTTTCACGAACAAAATTTTCCATTTTCTACCTTGCCTTGTGACACCCTACTTGATCATTTTGAACATCTATGTTTACCTTTGCCTATTCACGATGCCATTACTTCCCACTCTACACCAATACCACCACTAGACACCCCAAGTCCTACACAACCTGAAACACCGCCACCTACACATATTGGCCCACCACATGAAACTCCATCACCTCCATACATTGACACACCACCTATTACTCAACCTGAACCAAACATATCACCTCAATCTAACGAATCTAACCAACATGACAGATCCTTATCCAATCCCACTCCTCAAGTTGCACCACGTCGTAGCCAAAGAGACCGCTAACCACCATCATGGCTCCAAGATTATCAATGCTCCCAGGTTCGTGTTACTCCCCTTGGCCCATCATCATCTTCACGGTCAGGTTCACACCACCCTCTCTCAAATTTTATTTCCTATAATCACTTGTCATCTTCTCACCGTTGCTTTCTCAGTAGTCTTTCTACCACTATCGAACCCACCACATTTGCACATGCTAATGCTGATCCCAAATGGAAAGAAGCCATGCAAGCCAAACTTTTGGCTCTTGAGCACAATAATACCTGGACTATGACTCCACTGCCTTCTGGAAAACACGCCATTGGTAGTAAATGGGTCTATAAGATCAAGTATAATTTAGATGGCACAATTGAACGCTACAAAACACCTTTAGTGGCAAAAGGATATACTCAAACAGAGGGCCTCGATTATACAGAGACATTCGCTCCAGTTGCAAAACTTGTCACTGTCAAATGTTTGCTTTCCATTGCCGCTGTTCACGGCTGGTCTCTTCACCAACTAGATGTGCAAAATGCTTTCCTCCACGGTGATTTGGATGAGGAAGTTTATATGCTGCCTCCTCCTGGTTTTCGTCGACAGGGGGCGAATATGTGTGTCGACTCAACAAGTCATTGTATGGCCTCAAGCAGGCATCTCGTAATTGGTTCTCTAAATTTTCTACTGCTATTCAGAGTGCTGGTTATACCCAATCAAAGGTAGATTATTCCTTATTTACTCATGTATGTGGTGAATCATTTACATATATTGATTTATGTTGATGACATGATAATTACAGGAAATGATGACAAAGCCATACAAGACCTTAAAAAGTTCCTTCACACCAGCTTTCGAATCAAGGACTTGGGAAATCTCAAGTATTTTCTTGGAGTGGAAGTTGCCCATTCAAAGAAAGGCATTTCCATTTCTCAATGAAAATATACATTAGATATTCTTGAAGATGCTGGGCTACTTGGTGCAAAACCTGTCAACTTTCCAATGGAACAGAACTTGAAATTGACTCCAACTGACGGTGAATTGCTCAAGGATCCTTCACAATATAGGTGACTTGTTGGGCGTCTTATATACCTTACCATCACAAGGCCAGACATTACCTACTCAGTGCACATTCTTAGTCAATTTATGCAGCAACCAAGGAAGACGCATCTAGAGGCAACTCATCGTGTCTTACGTTATTTAAAGAAGGCACCAGACCAGGGTTTTTTGTTTCCCACACAGAGTTCATTACAGCTGAGGGGTTATTGCGACGCTGAATGGACTGGGTGTCCTACCACAAGAAGGTCAATCACAGGTTTTTGCATATTTCTTGGTGATGCACCTATATCTTGGAAGAGTAAGAAACAAACCACTGTGTCATGTTCATCAGCAGAGTCAGAGTATAGATCCATGGCCTCTATCACTTGTGAGTTGGTATGGTTGAAATATCTTTTGGAAGACTTGCAAATTAAGCATGAACAACCAGCAACCTTGTTTTGTGATAACCAAGCTGCCTTACACATAAAGGCAAATCCTGTATTCCATGAGCGTACAAAACATATTGAGTTAGATTTCCATACAGTGCGTGAAAGGATCCAATCAGGTCTTATTGCAACTACTCATGTACCTTCTGCCCATCAAATTGCAGATATATTCACAAAACCTCTTGGGAGTGCACTGTTCCATCACCATCTACGCAAGTTAAGAGCTTTGGATATCCATGCTCCAACTTGAGGGGGCGTATTGAGAATCAGCAAATCTCTTTAGTCACATTTAAGTCAAGCCATAATTGTAGGATCTGCTCTTATGCAATCTTTCCATTATTCTGATTGTAATAAGTTGCAAGACTTTAGGTACAAGTTTAGTTAACTTTACTTGTACAGCTTTTCCTTTCTTGTATTTAAGATTTGTATCTGCTTGCTAAAATATCAATGAAAACACGAGAAATTTCTCAGCAAGTTCTTCTCTTTTACCAATTTTAACATTGACTACTACCTCAGACCTTATCAAACCAACACCGAGATATATGTTTGATTATTTTAAAAGAACAGAAGTTTCCAAAAAGGATAAGAATACAATTTTTATCAGTTGTGGATTAATCACAGAGGATAAAAACTATTATGGTTATTGTCATTATGTGCTTGGCACATATTT